CTACTACTACTACTACTACTACTACTACTACTCCTACACCTACTACTACTACTACCACTACCACTACCACTACTACTACTACTACTACCACTACTACTACTACTACCACTACTACTACTACTACTATTCCTACTACTACTACTACTACTAGTACTACTACTAGTACTAGTACTAGTACTACTACTACTACTACTTACTACTACTGCTACTACTACTACTACTACTGCTACTACACACTACTACTATACTATACTACTACTACTACTACTAGTACTAGTACTACTATACTAGTACTAGTACTACTAGTACTACTACTAGCAGTACTAGTACTACTACTACTACTACTAGTACGAGTACTAGTACTAGTACTACTACTACTACTGCTACTACTACTACTACTACTACTACTACTACTACTACTACTACTACTACTACTACTACTACTACTACTACTACTACTACTACTAGTACTACTACTATTACTAGTACTAGTACTACTACTACTACTACTACTACTACTACTAGTACTAGTACTACTACTACTACTACTACTACTCCTACTACTACTACTACTACTACTACTACTACTACTACTACTACTGCTACTGCTACTAGTACTACTTCTGTGACGGTGACCCTTATCGCAAAAGAGCGCGCTGGGGCGCTGGCCGTGCTGGTGTGCTGGCGTGCTTGCGCGCCTGCGCGGGGCGCCGACGAGGTGCTGGGCGCGGCTGGCTCGGGAAATCCAAATCCCTTTCCTCCCCCTCGGGGTGTCCCCCCGCCTCCTGCCCCTCCTTCGTTTGGAGGCCCTGAGTGCCCGAGCCTCGTGCCCACTTTAGGTGGGGCGCTGGTGTCCCAGCGCAGAGACCGAGGCCATCAATTCAGGTGGATTCGAGGCCTGTGGGCCTGCACGCGGTGCCTCATCCGTGTGCGCTCTGATCCTCCGGAGCCTTCTGCGGATTGTATTGGTTTCAACTCCATGTTGTGTGCCCTTGTGCAGGAGCCCCAGGGGCACAAAATTCACTTGACTGGTACCCCTGACGGGGTCACCCTTTTCTGTTGCATGGACTGTGGCAGTGTTTCCGAGGGAGTGCGTTTTGGTGGGCTTGGGGAGGCCTGCAATGGCGGGCCATCCTCAAACCACACGCGTGGTAACCTCTCTCGCATTAGGAGAGGCATCCATCCCAACCATATGCGTAGGGATGTGTTGCTTGATGAGCTGGTGCCTCTAGTGGACTTCGCCTGTGCTGTGGACAGCGGTGGTTCTTTGGCTTCGACTGGTGAGGTGGGGAGTTAGTTGCTGGTGTGCCCTACCCCCTTTGGGGGTTGGGCCCTCTAGTGACTTCCTCCCTGCCTTGCTGGTATTAGCCTTTGCGATGCGACGTGCCAAATCAAATCTGAATACTACTCTCCATCCTCCCCTGAAGTTGTCCAGGAGATCTCCCGCCCCCTCCGCGTGCTGTTGTTGCGCAGGGTTTCAAACATTTTAGTGTTTTTATAACCCGATTGTTGTCGGTGTTTCGAAATGGCACTCCCGCTGCAGCATGGGCCTCATTTTCGGATCGGCGCTTCGCTCCCGTCGTTCAGAATGGCGCTCTCGCCCCAGCGCAGGTCACTTTTCTGGATCCGAGTCCTGCTTCATTGTTGTCCCCCCTTCAGTTCCCCTTCTCCGCTTTCCCCTGGACCTCCTGTTCCTCCCGCTGCTTCCACTCTAGTTCCTGCTGCTGCTGCTGCTGTTCGTCTCGCTCGAGCGCGGGCCACGTTTCTGAATCCGAGTCTTCCTCCATCGGTGTCTCCCCTTCATTTCCCCTCCTCTGCTTTTCCCCTGGTTTTCGTTTTTCTCCCTGTCCTTCCGCGTCAGCTCCTGCTGCTGCTGTTCGTCCGCATCCATTTTCTCCCGCTCATCCTGCTGTTCTTCCACCACCACTTCCTCCTGTGCCCGATGTTCCCCTAAAGAAGTGGTCTTTCTGTGGGAGTCACAGTTCGGCTATGACGCGGGTCCGCAGATCATGAAAAATCAGCCCCATGGGAAGGGACGGGGGGGAGGGAACGGATGTCAGATGATGCGCCAGCGCACCTAGGTTGACGTCCTCTCTCTCTGCCACTTCTTCTTCCCTCCCCCTTTCGGTTCCCTTTACGATTGCACAGTATGAATACTATTCTCCTCTGCGCTGATGACGTCCGGAAGATATTCCGCTCCTCTCCGCGCATGGTTTTTACACAGGGTTCCCTGGAGTTTGGTTTTCGCTCGGTTTTTGTTCAAACTGTTGTTCCCGCTGAAGCGCTGGGCTCATTTTCGGGCTTCGGTTCGTTCAGAATCGTGCTCCCGCTGCAGCGCTGGTCTCATTTCCGTGCTTCCGCTCGTTCCGAATCGTGCTCCCGCTGCATCGGTGGACTCATATCCGCGCTTGCGCTCGTTCGCAATCGTGCTCCCGCTGGCGGGCATTATTCCCAGTGCCATGCCACGGCATTCAAGGCAATGCTATGTGGTGCTGTGCGA